TTGGCATAGCAAGAATATTTACCTAAAGATTAATTTTAAAAGGAGCAGTTTGGGATCAGATCCTTTTAAAATCATGTAGATGTTTAAAAAAATGTAGACGTTGTGTTCCTGCACCACATTGTCTAGTGAAAGCAGAATGAGTGTCTTGCATCTGAACCTGAAAGTTCCTTGAAGTTCCTGTAGAATTGTCTGTTCCCTCATTTCCATGATTGGCTTAGCCAAGAAATTTTAGTCCTGACTGTGGAACACAAATTGCCAATTGGAGCTCTTCCCAGCAGGATTGCAGTAAAGTAACTTGTAATTTTAATGTACCTGCTCATAAAGATGAATAACTGAGGATGTAGGATAAACAAGAGCCAAAGGAGCTTGTGTTTGTGAATAGCATCAATACCACAAATGCAGCTTACATGCCCTGTGGCCCTGGTTTCACTGAAATCTTTTCACAAAGATGAAAACAGAAATCCAGAGAAGTTAAAAATCCAAGGTTGTGCCACAAGGTGTGCCTGAGCTCTTGATGTCCGTTGCCAGCCAATGAGAAAGTTGCCTTTGAAGAGCTCTCCTCTGACAAAACCATCACTACCTTCTATCCTATGATGTCTCAAGTATTAGGTCCTTTTTTGTCACTGAAAAGCTAAATGAGTGGAAGTAAAAGAATGTTTACTTGGATGAAAGTGGTGGGGAGGAGGGACTTAGAAAAAGGAAGTGAGGGAAACTTACTGGGTGCCAGAGAGAGAAGTTCGACCATGTTCTGTGGATTTCAACTTGAACTCCAGCGGAGGCCACCGGAGCTCCCAGGTGCTACCAAGAGGAACCTCAGGGAACAGTGAACTGTAAAACACACTGTCCCTCCTTCAACCTCTGGAATGTGTTATGTCTGTCACTTCCTTTGGGTGACATCCACAACTGGCTACTACAACACAGAGATGTATAGGAAATGGCATGTGCTCATTTTGCCTTTTTTTTTTTTTTTTAAAGAAAGTAGGAGCCTGAGAAAGATTTTCAGCACTAGCTGTGTGGCTTGCAGTCTTGGATGAGTCGGTGCCCCAGTGGGTGCCTACTGCCCACTTGCAAGCTTCCTTCGTTTACTTGGCCGTCTCCCTGCTCCACCTTTCAGCAAGGATTGCAAACTCCTATGCTTCCAGGGACAAGGTAAGGAAGGAAGAGTGAAGCAGGTGGGAGAGGACTATTGGACTGAAAGGACCTGCATTTCCAGCTGATTATTGCCATTGGGGAATGTGAGATGTTTCCATATTTGCCAATTTTTGAGGCAAAGCTGGAAGTCAAATCTGTAACATCTAATCTTAAAAAAGTACTGACAGCTAATTTCAACATGAGAAAACAGGCCAATGGGGAGAAAAGGTGCTCACCTTTGTAAATGACTGAAAACTAAGGCTAGAGATAAAGCAAGAGGCCTCCCTGGTGAGGGGATTAAAATCAGAACTATCACGCTATCGCCAGCCACTGTGGCATGAGTTCGATCCCTGGCTAGGGAGCTGGCCCACATGGCACAGCAGACCTCTTCTGCCTTGACCGCTGCTCCCCTTGTTACAGGGCAGGGAGAGGGGCACCCCAGGACCCCCAAGCCTTCCTGCTCTATATAGGTTCTGCCATCTGCCACATCAAGACAAAACATACAGACCTTTAATGGAAATGAACTTTAATACAATTAGTGTGCAATACAGAAAAGGCAAACATATATAGTTTCTAAATCAAGCACCCAAAATTACCCATCCCCTCGTGGGTAAAAGTCTACCCAAATGGGATTGGCCCAGAGCAAGTTCTGAAAGTCCGCCACAAGTCTAATGCACCTTCTGGCGGGGACCCACAGAAAAGGGTCAGAAACAACCAGACAAGTCTGGGAGGAAAAGATCAAAATCAAGATAAAAGCTGCCATTGTCACCTCCCCATGGGTCTCTCCCTAATCTGATTCAACCAGTCCACTACCAAAAGGCAAGCATAGTTTCTTCGCATGTCACTCTGCTCCATGTGCCTCCTCCAGGTCTCATTGCTCTCCATCCTGCTTCCTTCCTTTACAGTTTCCTCTCCAGCTTCTTCTCCCTGCTCAGCTCCCCTCCTTTGAATGGGGCAGGGAACTGTCTTTTCCTGGACACCACCCTGTTACACCCTCAACAGTGTATTTCAGTCTATCAGTCTGCTTGTACTGCTCCCCACTGTCTTTGGTGAATCCTCTCACCCCACCCCACCCCCACCACATCTCTCGCCTGTACCTCAGTTCTTATATGCATAAAAAAGAAAAGTATCAGGTGGGGGGTGGGGAAAGGAGGGATTGGGGTCAAAATAAAGGAGTTGTAATTGTATGGCGAATATAAAAATAAAATTTAAATTAAAAAAAGTATCTGTATATATTAAAAAAGATGAAAGCAACTGTGTGTAAACACTCGTCAAGTTGATAAAGTTTCTTAGGGGTATAGATTACTTGTGTACAGTATGAAGGGGGGATTGCATTATAGTGGAGAAACCTGACAAACACCACCTGATTAGGGTCAACATCAGTGGTGATTCATCAAGGTGATTAGCATGTACCATCCATACGACGCAGTGAGGATGACACGTCTTCTCTGTGGTCTTCCTTACAAAACAGGACAAACGCATCAGCTAAACCCCAAATGCGGGACATTCTAAAATCTACCCTCAAAAGCATCAAGATCATAAAAACAGAAAGTGAGAAATTGTCAGACCAGAGGAAGCTGATAAGGAACTCAGATGACTAAGTGTAATGGGGTTACCTGGATGGGCTCCTGGAACAGAAAAAGGATACTAGATAAAAAAAAAAAACTGATGAACTTTGAATAAACAATGGAGCTCATTTCATAATAGTGTTTTGTGTTATTTCATTAGTTGTGACAAAAGTCTAAAAATGTAAGACATTAACAGCTGGAGAACCTGGGTACGAATATATAGGAACTCTTAACCACTTTTCTGTAAATCAAACTATTCTAAAATTGCTTATTTAAAAAATAAAAACTGCGGCCTCCCCAGTGGCGCGGCAGTTGAGTGCTGGGTTGCGAAGATGCCCACAGCCTCTGCAGTGCCAGTTTGATCCCTGGCCTCTAGGTGAGGGTCCCATATGGCGCGCAGACCTCTCCTGCCGCCCGCTGCTCCCCTCAGCAGTGTACTTCTTGCTCTGCTCTCCCCTCTGGCTCTGGTGAATTCTCTCTCCCTCCCGCGCTTCTGACTGTACCCAGTGCTTGTATAAATTAAAAAAAAAAAAAGAAAAGAAAAAGAAAAAAGAAACAAATGTTTTAAAAAATAAAATATAAAATAAAATAAAAATAAAAACGGCACAGGCCACTTACCTATATGAAGATGCTCAGTCTTGCTCTTAATGAGATCTGGCACTGAAACACTAATGCTCACCTGATGGGTTGGCAGGAATCCAAAAGCTAGAACTCTAGTTGGTTTGGTGAGATGGGGAAACAGGAACACTCAGATTGATCATGATTTTCCTACTATCCAGCACAATTATACCCATTTGTTCTTTTTCTAGAAACTCTATTCCTGGGGATCCATCCAAAAGAAATACTGGCAAAAATATGAAAAAACATACTAAGTGTGCACAAACCTATTGTCACAGCATTATATATAATAATTAAAGACAGAAACAGGGCCTCCCTGGTGGCACAAGTTGTTAAGACACAACCTATGAAACTGTCTGCAGCCACTGCAGCATGAGTTCGATCCCCAGAGAGGGAGCTACCCACATGGCTCAGCAGACCTCTCCTGACTTGCCCGCTGCTCCCCTCAGCAGTGTATTTTGTCAGTCTGCCTGTTCTGTTCCCCGCTTTGTCTCTGGTGAATCCTTTCACCCCCCCGCGTCTCTGGCCTGTACCCCAGCTCTTGTATGCACAAATAAATAAAAAAAATTAAGACAGAAACAACTCAAACACCCACTAATAGGTTGTCAAATCAAAAATTGGAATGCAATCAAACCTCTAGAATCCAGAGTTTAGAGCGAAGCAACAATTTATGGGAAATGGGAGACAAAATTAGTCAACACAACAAAGCTGCAAACCCACTGCAGAACAAGGCAGTTTCTTCAATTAAATTGTGGGGGAATACAATTTGGATATTTGGTAATTCATGTTGTGATGATACTGTAGTTTGGTTTTTTAGAATTTCCTAGATTTTGGTGATCTATGCTGTATATGTATACAAGAAATGTTATATCCAAGATTTGCTTCAGAATATTTCGGGGGCCTCCCCTGAGGGCGCAGGTGGTTGAGCATAGCGCTGTGAAGCTGTCCGCAGCCTCTGCAGCGCTGGTTCGATCCCGGCCGGCCGAGGAGAATCCCACATGGCGCAGCAGACCTCTCCTGTCTCGCTGTTCCCCTCAGCAGTGTATTTTGTCAGTCTGCCTGTTCTGTTCCCCGCTCTGTCTCTGGTAAATCCTCTCACCCTCCCACGCATCTGGCCTGTACCCCCGTTCTTGTATAAATAAATAAATAAATAAATAAATAAATTTTTTTAAAAAAAATTTCAGGGTGGGGGAGTGACAAAATATCTCACAGTGAGGGTGTGTAAAACATACCACTGAGGGGAGCAGTGGGTGAGACAGGAGAGGTCTGCGCCATGTGGGTCCTCTCCCTGCTGGGGGATCCAAGTCACGCTGCAGCGGCTGCTGAAAGCTTGATAGTGCTGAGACATAACCCGTGCACCACCAGGGAGGCCCTCCACCATTTCTTTTTTTTTTTTTTTAATTTTTTTTTTTTTTATAGAGGCATGTTTTTATTTATTTATTTGTTTGTTTGTTTGATACATGCACTGGGTACAGTCAGAAGCACGGGAGGGTGAGAGAATTCACCAGAGCCAGAGTGGGGAGCAGAGCAGGCAGAAGGACTGAAGTACACTGCTGAGGGGAGCAGCGGGTGGCAGGAGAGGTCTGCGCGCCATGTGGGACCCTCCTCTGGTGGCCGGGGAGCAGCCGGGGATTGAACCGGCGCCGCAGAGGTCGCCGGCAGCCTCGCAACCCAGCGCTCAACCGCTGCGCCACCGGGGAGGCCCCCTCCACCATTTCTTACAGGGAAATTGATTCGGGCGGGATTTTAGACTCTGCACACATTGAAAACTCCACACCCTTGCTTCAGCCAGCTTCCTCCTGGAAAGCAAAGCCAGCTGGGTGAGTGCTCATGGAGGCCACACTGACTCATCAGCCTGGAAGGCAGGCCCTCCATGTCAAGAGCAGAGATGGCAGGCAAGTGCTAGGGGAAAGGTCCAGCTGGCATGAGAAGCAGGGTCTGGAAGCAACTGGTACTAGAAAACGGAAAGAAACAGCTGGGTCTGTTTTTAACATTTATTAATCCAAAAATACATAAAATACTACTTTCTATCCCAGGTTCTCAGACTTCAAGGGAGGTAGCTGCCAGCCTTAAGTACCTGGTGTAATACCTAAGTGCTCATTTTGACTTCAGGTGGGAGAAAGATGAGGAGGTGAGTCTCAAACCAGGGAGCCCCAAAATCAGGCCTGTGCCCTGCAGAGGCCCTGCTAGGGCAACTTGGCCCCCAGCACTTGGCACTTTTGCCAGAGGAAATGGGGCAACCATCAGACTAGGCCATTCTGGAACAATTCCTCTGTATAACTAGGCCCCAGGGGTGGTGCGTCTTCCCCCACTCAAGGGTGCTGATGGCTGAGTTCCCCCAGGGCCAGCTGCCCAGAGCTAGTGGAGGAAATGTAGGTCCAGGAAGACAAAGTCCCCAAAGCAAAGCCGACTTCCAGCTTCCTTCAACTTCCACAAGGAGGACCTGGAACTCGGTTCTCCTGGAACCAACCTCTCCTTGGCCCAAATCCATTTCCAGGAGACCCAGAGATAGTCAATCAGGTGCCCACTGGGGCCATCACCTGCACATCAGTCCACAAAGTCACCCAGGAAGCCTGGGCCAGCCACTATCCACAGTCTCATTATTGCATGCCAACCGGGTGCATGGGCCAGGGCCCCTGGCCAGCACCGAGGCCTGGCACTGGAGGGCCCTGGGCCACGGGCTGTAAGCGCTGCTGGGTCTGCCAGAGGTGATGGAGTTCCTTGAACTGTTCCACCATGTGGTCTTTGAGGTCTGGATTTGAGATCTGTAGCCGGATACTATCAGCCGACCAAGAAAGCTCCCCTGAGAACATCTCTAGCAGCAACCGTGCTGCTACGGGCACCACCTGGGGGGCAGAGAGGACCCTGGCAGGTCAGCCAAATCTAGTTGTGCCTGAGAACACCCACCAGGGGGCTGGTGGAAGACCTCAACCATCAGGAAGATGGGGAACCACTATCTACTTTGCAAACAGGTTACTCACGTGTGGGCAGCCCTGGGCCTCCTTATCTCTGGTTGCCAAATGCACACTGCCCAGAGTCCTGAGCCTCCACCTAGGGCAAGTGTGTAGCCCAGGATCCTCCAATATTCAGGCTAACGTAGGGCCGGGGGTGGGAGATGGTGTTATACCTGCACGGTGATGAGCTTCTTTTCTCGGGGTTTTCGGTCAGGCCACTCCTCCCCAAAGCAGAAGAAGATCTCGAACGGTGGTGGGGCGTTGGTCTGGCCCTTCTGGAATAGGATGAGCTCTGTAGCGAGATCAAGACCCCCTGGTCAGAGGCTAGAACGCTGCCCCTGAGTGAGCAGAGGCCAGAGAAACACAGCGTGGGGCCCTCACCATTGAGAAAATGCTCCAGGCTGAAGAGCTTGGTCTTGACCTCCCGCTGGATGGGGTTGGGCTGTGAGTTGTGGGCTGAGGCGCAGGGCCCGCTCCAGAACACCTTGCACTGGCAGAGGCGGATGGCATACAGGTCCTGGCCCTGCAGCTGGAGGATGAGCCCGCGGTCCAGGACATCCAGCAGCTGGTTGGTGTAGAAGCGCTGCTTGTCGCTGGGGATGTCCTCGGCGCTGGGGAAGCGCACTTGCTCCAGGCTCACAGGTCCAAAGAGCTCCACCTGCTCCTGGGTGGCTTCCAGCTGGCTGTAGAAGAGCCGGCAGCCTTGCGGGTTGCTGATGGTGAGGGCGCGGGGCGGACGCCCCCGGTACTGGAACTTGATCTCCAGGTCAGTCACTGCGGGGCAGAGGGGCAGGCCCGCTGCCCGTGAGCCCCGTGCTCCCCAGCCTGCACCCCGCTGGCTTTCTCTGCCCGGTGGTCAAGCCCAAGTCTGGTCCATGCGCACAGACACTGAGTGCTTCGGGCTGTCAGGACGCAGGCCTGGGACTTCCTCCCACCAGAAGGGACTAGCATGGGCATTTCTCTTCTTTCCTTTATCACCCTCCATTCCCCTGGCAAGCCCACCCCAGCCCCCCAGCGCTGCTTTACCCTGCCCAGCCCACCCCGGGGCCTTACGAGGCAGCATGTGTGGGCTGATCAGCAGGTCGGGCAGGAGTTGTTCGCATGTGGAGGGCAGGCTGGCAGCCATGGATTCCGGCTCCAGGCCTGGCACGACTTCAGGGAGAAGGTCCCCAAAGCCAGCAGGGTTGCCAGGGGCAGGTACCAGGAGGCTGGGGTCTGGAGCCGGGGGACCCACCACCACAGGTGACTGGTGAGTGGGTGGCCACTTGATGTCTTCTTTGGGTACAGAATAGGGTGGCAGGGTAGGGCCGGACTGTACTACTTCTACAGAGGATAGGAGTGGGCAGAGCTGTTAGTGCCGCTTGCAGACCCACCTCTCAGGCCCTCCTCCCCACCCTGTGCCTCCTGTCAGCCTCCCTCAGGCCCCCTAAGTACCTAAGACACCGCAGCCTCTCCTACACTAGGGGCCCAGCCACACAGACTCACGTGCCCACCTGTGAGGCTCAGGCTTGGTAACATCCTCTGGAGCTGAAGGGAAGAGAAGAGCAGAGGAGGGAGAGAGGCAGGAGAGACAGGGAGCACAGGTGATTAACCTGATCTGAAGTTGAAGAAACACCATCTGAGAACCCCAGGCACGTGCGGGCCATCGGGGAGCGGAGGCCAGGCCGGCCTCCAGCCCCAGGCCTGCGTCCTGGCAGCCCGAAGCACTCAGTGTCTGTGCCCACGCTGCCTGCTGCAGGCAGGGAGCGGCAGAGGGAAGCCCCAGCCGCTGCAGGGCGAGCTCCGCACCAACGAAGACCCAGGGGCCCAAGGTGTGGACTTTGCTCTCATCCTCCGGACCCGGGAGAAGCAGCTCAGAGGAGGGTCACAGGAAGACGGGAGCTCTAGCGGGACGGGGCTGCGGCAGCCTAAAGCCAGACAAGGCCCACGCGGGTGTGGGCAGCACCCGCCCAGGCGGCAGCGGCTCACCTCCTCCTCTTCCTCCTCCTCTTCCTCCTCTCCGGCCCCGGCGCCGAAGGCGTGATCCTCGCCGGGGTGGGGCTCTGCAGAGAGAGGGGGAACAGAAAGATGGGGAGGACCAGTGGGGGGTCAGAAGGGGGAGCCAGCAGGGCTCCACGGGGCTGCAGCGCCCGCTGTCGCTTCCCCCCCTCCCCAGAGCTGCCCACCCAGAGTGACATGAAGGCACAGGGGACCCCCCCATCCCACCCCAGCACGCGGCTCCGGGCCTGGACACTGAAGCCAGGAACCGAGAGGGCAGGGAAGGCCGAGCCGGACAGCTGGCCGCCAGGAGCCCTGGGTCATGACCCAGCAGCGTGTCCCCAGCCACTGCTCACAGCGGGGGGGCCCCCCCCAGGCGGCCGCCCCAGGTCCAGGCAGGTACCTGCGGGAGCGGGGCCACCGGAGCAGACCTCGTAGATCTTGTAGGGCTGCGGGGGCATGTCGCGGGGCCCGTCGTATCTGAGGCGGAAATCGCGGCTCTTGTTCAGGGCGCAGCGCAGGTTGGCCTTCCACTTGGCGGGGTCCGCCTCATCCACGCCCTCCGTGTATTTCCCCGTCTCCATGGCCCAGGCCTGGGGCAGGAAGGAGAGAGGTGACCGCAGAGAACCTGGCCCCTCTCCGAAGCCCTAGCCCCGCCCCGGGCCCCCAGAGTCTCTGGTGCAGTGAGACCCTCAGATGCACACTGCGCCCGGCCAAGCCCCAGGGTCCCGGGAGTCAGAGCCACAACTCCCCGTTCCCCCATTCCCCGGTGCCAACACGTCATCTGCGGAGGGCGCCACCATGGAGGATGAGAGCCGTGGATCTGGAGTAGCACTGGGCTGGAATCCAGAACCTGCCACTCACCAGCTGTGCCAGGGGCTTGTCACCGCCTCTCTTTCCTTTGGTTTCCCCACCAGTGCCCACCTCCCAGGGTGGGGTGAAGACTGGGCAGGAGTGTCTGCAAAGCCCTCCTGTGTCTGTGCAGGATGGGTTTAACGCTTCAGCTGTGGGGGCATTATCTTGGGGGGCAGTTGGGTGATACCAGGATTACAAGTGTTTCTATCTTTTGACCCAGCAATTCAGCTTGTAGGAATTGGTCCTATGAATCAGAAGCATCCACAGAAAATTCTGCACAGACAAGTTCATCTGCTGTGGCAGCACTGTTTATATAAAAGCAAAGGCCCCCAATAACCTGGACATTGGCCAATGGAGCCAGTGAAATTATAATCAACCCATCAAATGGAATACTTTATTATTCTTTTTTTTCTGCATAGAAGAACTGGGGTACAGGCCAGAGGTGCGGGGAACAGTGAGAGGATTCACCAGAGACAGAGTGGGGAGCAGAACAGGCAGATCTACTGAAATACCCTGCTGAGGGGAGCAGTGGGTGAGACAGGGGAGGTCTGCTGCGCCATGTGGGTTGCTCCCTGGCTGGGAATCAAACTCATGCCATTGCAGTGATAGCGCTGAGACTTTATTCTAGGGAGGCCCTCAAATGGAGTACTTTATAGAGCAAGATGCTTTTTATAGACTGGTGTGTCAGTGGGCTGCATCTGCCAGTGTTGCGAACTGTGGGGAGAGGACGATACACACAGCAGTTCCTCAGATAACACCATTTTGTTCAGTATTGTTTGTTATAACATTGATGAGGGGGAAAAACTCAAATCCCAGGTGGAGTTTGCATGTTCTCCCCATGTCTGCTCCAATTTCCTCCCACATCCCAAACACAAGCTCATGAGTTCACTGGTGTGTCTCAGGTGTCCCAGTCTGAGTGTGTGTGTGTGTGTGTGTGTGTGTGAGAGAGAGAGAGAGAGAGAGATGCACCCTGCAATGGAAGGCGTCTGCCCAGGCTGGGTCCTGCCTTGGGCCCCGAGCGGCTGGATTAGGCTCCATCCACGGGAAAACCTCACCTGCAATAAGTGAATTGGAAAACGAATGTGCACAAATGACTACTGAGTATTAAAAGTGTTTGGGGTTTTTATTTAGAAGTTTGGTGATGTTTTGTGGCCAGAAATATGCCATAGGAGGCGTAACTCTTATTCATAGCCTCTGTGGTCAAATTGGTTCATGAATTAAATCTCGTTTCTCTTAAAGTTGCCGTTTCCGAGAACCCACGGTCGACGGTAAGTGGGGACTCGCGTGGACTGTGCATGCACGGAAGTCTTCCAGGAAGGACAAACAAGAAACTCGTCATACGAATCTCCTCTAGGGAGCAGGGGGTGGCTGGAGGACAGGGGTGGGAGGGGGACTGCAGACTGGAAACATTTTATACTTTTTCAATTTGGTGACTCTGCTACCTATTCAAAATAAGAACTGAATTTGAAAAGGACCTTGAAAAAAGTAACTTTGAGGTGCAAATACACAACAAAGCTTTAAAAATAAGCATTCTCTCTGGCCAGCAACGCTCTACACTTGGAACGGACCCCAAAGGAAACCACTTCAGATATGCAAAGGGCACACATTTCCAGGGTGTGCATGGCCTGGCGGCCTTAGACACCCCCACACTAAAAGCGATTGAAGTGTCTAAAAACCGGGCTTGGGGACTAAGCTGTGTTGACTGCGCCAGTGGAACACTCAGGGGTCACTCAGAGTGACAGTGGCATAGTTAGAGAGGCAAGCTGGGCCTGACGCTGAGTGGAAAATGCTGATTTTAAAACATTACGTGGCTTGATTCCATTTTCTCATTTCATACATGTATACACACATCTACACACATACACACACACACACTCAGAAAACTGAAAAAGTAAGCAAAAACTGCTCATAGCAGTTACCTTCTCACGTCATCTTTTTGCATGTACGTGTACTAAACACACACACCACTCCTGTGCTCATGCTTAACGAGAACGAACCAAGAACAAGAAGACCAGGTGTCCCAGAAGGGCCTCCTGAGGGGCCCTCCACCCCTGCCTGACTCGGGATCAGGTTAGAAAAGATATACCCTGTGTTTATGCCACGACCCCTTAGTCCAGACCTGGGGTCACCTAGGGCAAGGCAGCTGGGAGAGTGAGCGGATTGAGATGTGGGGGGTCTTCTTCTAGAGGGGGTGCCCCTCCCTAGGTAGTACCACAGTCCAGGCTTACCTTGAAGATGGTGTTATCTCCCTCCTGGCTGGGCCCGTGCCTTGTGGCATGGCGCCAGGGGATGTAAAAGAATTTCCTTTCCCCATTGACCCACTGAAGCCCTGGGTACTGGCAGCTGTTCACCTGGGCCACCAGCCAGGGTTTCAGCCGCACGCGACGGGGAGGTGGGGGCACCCCTGAGGCAGGCTGGTTCATGGTAAAGGGGTCTGCAGGAAAAAGTGAAAGGGGGGTGCGTCAGCAGATTTGCAGCTAGAAGGTCCCCAGGGGCCTCTCCACCCCCCCACCCCCCATATCTTGCGAGAATTCCCATCAGTTAACGCATCTACTTCCTGGGGCTCTGGCAGGGACAGCAACCACTTAACTCCTGCCCTTCTTGTCTCCTAGGCTGGTTCCTCCCCCCAAGCAGACATTCGCTGGGCATCTAGGATGCACCTCACTTTTGCCAGGCTCCTGTGCACACAGCTGAGGAACTGCCCAGGCGGGGTCTCACAGCTCCCCAGGGCAGTCAGCACCACTCCCTCTGCCCTTGTTTCTGCTCCCACCCCCCTCAGAGGCCACTGGCCTGTGGGCCCTGCCCCCTGCTCTCCACCTCTCTGGGGCCCTCTCTTTCCAGGGCCTCCTGTGGCTAAAGGGAGTGAGACCAGACCCCAGAGGAACGCTGCAGGCTGTGATGCAGGTGAGGGTCCGAGGAGGGCAGACTAGACAGGGCAGGTGGCTGAAGGAAATGGGGAATCTGGGGTGGTAAACATGCCTTGGGGTGGGGATGAGAGCTAGCCTGAGCATCTGAGGTGCTACCCTGTGACAAAGGAACTAGGGTTGGAGTCAACACGGGGACAGCCTCTGCTGAGGCAGACTAGACCCAGGTTGCAGAACTGCTGCCTGTGTGCTGTGGCTGTAGGGGGACATCAGCCTGGGGGGCTTCCTGGCCTGCCTTGGGTGGGAGGTTGACCAAGATGACCATCATTCCAGGCCTGCTTTGTTCTTGAGCACTGAGCCTCAGCTTCCCCTGAAAGTCCCTGTCCAGTATCGCTTTGGGCTCTGACTGTGAAGCGCCACCTCCCATTGCGATGGCCTCTCCATCCTCAGGCCTCTGTGGAGAGCGGTGCCCAGCTTGGGGCTGTGACAGGGAGAGTGAGGGGCCCCCCGTCCCGCCCGCAGGCCTCAGGAGACTGGAGGTTCAGTTCCCCTTTCTGCACCAGCCTCCACCCTACTCCTGGGGAAATGAAAGTGGCCGGACCGGACGTGGAAAACTCGGAAACCTGACTGTCAGCTGGGGCAAGGAACAGATACGGAGAAAATTCACATTTGGTTCCCAAGACCAAATTCTCAGTCACCACCCCCGGCCCTCAAGCCAGCTGGGGAGCATGTAGTGTGGTTCCTAGCATCGGGTGACCTCACCCACTCTATCTGCATTTGCAATGCTCTCCCAGCACCCCTAGGCCCTGGTCTTAGAACAGAGAGGGGAGTGTCAGTGCCAGCAGGCCATGCCGGCTAAGTGAAGGTGGACAACGGAAAAATCTGTTGGCATGGAGGGGAAGGCAAACTTCCCTGATGATGCCCTGACAAATGGTTGACCCAGAGCTGTGCCAGGGGTGGTGTCGCCGGGGGACCAGAAGGGCCTCCTCCCCTGCCCAGCGCAAGGAGGAAGTCGGGCAAGTCCCACACAGGTCTAGGCCAGCACAGCTGTTCAGTGAAGGGGCTTTCGAATATAACTCTGCCCGCAGGTCAGTAAGCTGCAGTCTCTGCAGGTGGTTTAGGCGGACGGTATGGAGAAAGGGCCCCCACAACCAGCCAGGTCAGGATCAAGGAAGGGTCTGTGTGCTACGCACAGGGGATTCAGCCTCAGGAGGTTTTGCCAGCAGCAGTGTGCACAAGGACCTTGAAGTGAGCACTGCATCCCACACATCCCACGGAGGGCTCCTGGCCCCAGGCAGACTTAGATCTGACTCAGCCCATCCTGCTGCTGAGTTCTGCAGCTCAATGCCTATGTGCCCTCGGGATAAAAAGTTGCCCAGATTCCCAAGGGAGCCCAGAAGCCACAGCACTGCCCTGAGAAAGCCCATTCTACACCCTCTTCCCACTACTGGGAGTCAGATTTGAATTTTCCATCAGAGGCAGCAGGCTGGCCAGGGGCTCTGCCAGACTCCTGGCCAGCTGTCAGGCCTGCCTTCTCAGGGATATGGAGATCTGGGGTGACATTTTTGCAGCCTTCACCCCTAAACTTGTGAACTTAAGGCCTGCAAAGTGGGGAAGACCAGAAACAGCTGCATCAACCTCCATGGAAGGTGTGGGCTTTCAGGAGCCAGGAAATGCCCAGAGGTGAATTCTATGTAAGTGAAGCATAGAGAGGGGCCCCAGGACCTGCTGGAGTGTGGAGCCCCCACAGCTCAACCAGGGTCCTGCTGAAGTCCCCTCAGGTGCTGAACTAACCACCTGAGGAGCCTGGAACACGGTGGGCCCAGGGACCCCGACGGGAGGACAGGACGTTTTGCCACCTAAGTGGGTGGGGGAACAACCCTTGCCACTTGCAGAGTTTGTCTATTTCAGATGTCTTACCACAAATCCCACACCGAGCTCAGGGGGAAGATGAGGGGCTCCTGCACCAGCGTGACCCTGCACCCCGCCCCCTCCGGGTGAGTTGCCCACACCCTGAGACCAGCTGAGGCTCTGGGGCGTCCAGCCCCTGGGCTTCTTCCTAGCAGAATGGGGCAAGGCTGAGGTGGAGGGGGGAAATCCCCGAAGTGGCGCCCTCAGGTTAAAAAAAGAACAGGTGGTTTCCTAGTGCCTCCCCAGACCTCCCTGTGCCCCAGTATCCCAGGGAACAGCTCACGGGAGCGGTGCGGTGGCAGCGGCTCCGCCTCTGGCCTGGCTGCCCCTCCACGGAGCCTCCCTCGGGCTGGGGGCTCCCTCCAGCGCCCCGGCCCTCGTCCTTACAGGTCCCGGACAGTCGCCCCGGCTCCGGGTGCCTGGGGGGGCCCGACCAGGCCCTGCCCTCGGGACTGCCCTCGCAGGTCCCACCTCCCGGGTCAGCCTGGGAACCACCTCGGGGCGCAGGCTTAGGGTCCGGGCCTCGGCCCGCTCCTCCCGCTGGCAGCGCCCCCGCCTCTGCCCCGCCCTGCCGTGCCCAGGCTGCGGCCGGGCCGGGAAAGTCCCTCGAGCCGGCGCCCCACGGCGCCCCTCGGCCCCGCCAGGAGAAGCCGCGCCGGGCGCGCAGGTCTTCGCGGGGTCCTGCTCGGCATCCCCGCGCCGGTTTCACTTTCCCTGCGCTTCGAGAGTCCTAATTATTTCGTTTTTAAGTTCGAGAGAAGGAGGCAAAGAAACCAGCTCAAAAAGTGGTGCTGCTTCTGCGCCGGGAGGGCCAGCGCCTCCCTGCTCGGCCACGGCTCCCGGGCCAGCGCCTCTACCTGACACACCTGCCCACACGCCGCCCGGATTCCTGCCCCGGCCTCTGGAGCCTGGGAGGTTCCCGAAGCCTCTTCCTCGAACCCGACAGCGAGAGGGTGCCGGGGCGAGGAAAGCAGGGCGCGCATGAACAGGGCATCGCGCTCGCCGCTCTCCTGGCCCAAGGCAGACCCGGGGCGCGCCCCATCCCCGGCGAAGGCCGAGACCTCGCAGGGGGAGCAGCGGCAGAGCCGGTGGCCCTGGCCGCCGAGCGGGCTTCGCTGACCGGCCTCGGCTCCCGCGCGTCTGCGGGCCCGCGGCTGCCGGTGCGGGGCGCGCCCCCCGCGTCCGGGCGGAGGAGACACCCCAGAGGCCGCCGCCTCGCGCGGGGCTGGGCGCCCACCCCAGCTGGGGCGCGGGTCGGAGCGGGACACCGGCACCCCAGCGCTCACGCCCATCTCCAAAGCTCCGTCCTCCGCGGGCAGGTGCCGCGGGGGCGCGGAGAGGAGCGCGCGGCCGCCGGGACCTACCTGTCCGCGCTGCGCCCGCGTGGCTGCGCCCCGAGCACCGGCCGGCGGCGGGGCCGAGCTGCACTCTCGGGGAGCCGCACCTCCCGCCGAGCTCCGACTCCCAGACACTTCCGCATCGCGCGCCCCCGCCCCCGGCCTCGGTGCGCCGGCTGCGCCCCGCCCCACCCGGCGGCACCACCCTCGGGCCCCTGACTCGGCGACCGCGGGCCGGGGCTTAGCATCCGGCCAGGCTGGGTGCCCCTGACAGCCCTGGGCCTCCCGGGAGACGGAGGCAGCGCGGTGGGCTGGACGGACCCTGGCTCTTCGGGCAGTTTGGAACCGCAAAATAGTAAATGGAGGACCCAGCCCCGCAGCCCAGGCGCTGCTCTGCAGGGTCCCGGAGCTTCCCAGCCCGCGCCCTAAGGAAACCCAAGGATGGTGCAGACGCAGAGCAGCGGCCCAGCCACATACAGTGGAGCCCACCTAGAAATAGATGGTAGATGGATACGTGGGTGAGTGGATGGGTAGCTGGAGAGCCCCCAGCCCTCGCTCTGCCTGCCAGGGCCTGCCCCTGCGCCCCAGAACCCACATCTCCCGGGCAGGCAGGGACCCTCTAGTTCTCAACCCCACCCTCCCTCAACTGCCTACCCCAACTCTTCCTGCTAGCTCTTGGGGACGCTCACATCAGCTCCGTGGTGGCCTGTCCCGCCTCTACACTCTACCTCGACCACCCATCGCCATTCGTAAGGTTTTCCAGTTTCACAAATGGGTGTCATTCTCCGCTCACACATCCTTCCCTTGGTTACCACCCTTCTTCAAATTTGCTGTTCCAGCAGCATCTCCTCAGAAAGCCTGCCTTGATTGCTCCCTCCTGGGTCAGGATCCTGGGTGAGGAAGCTCATCCTCACTGGTTTTACTTGTGATTTTACAGTCTGATACCCACTTGAATCAGCTTAGGCAGGGATTACTCCCGGCCTTCATTATATTCTGTAGTAACTTTCAAATGCAGGGTAATGAAATTTTAGATAGCAACTAGAATATCTAAGTTCTAGATAGTACTGCTTGCCCTTTAAAATTTAGAACCCATGTTTTTTTTTTTTTTTAAAGATTTATTTATTTATGCATACAAGACCTGGGGTACAGGCCAGAGATGCAGGGGGTGAGAAGACTCACCAGAGACAGAGCCGGGAACAGAACAGGCAGACTAACTGAAAGACACTGCTGAGGGGAGCAGAGGGTGAGACAGGAGAGGTCTGCTGCGCCATGTGGGTTACTCCTTGGCCTGCCAGGGATCGAACTGTGGACTGCTTCCTAGTGCTGTGCTTAGCCCCTTGCGCCACCCTGGAGGCCCTAGAAGCCATGTTTTTAACATACATTGGTTGATGGATGTATTGTAGTATTGGTTGATGAAGGAAACTTTGACCTTGACCCCTGCCCCTCTGGAATATCTGGATTGGTCCTCACCCCTCATCTGTGTTACCCACCTTCCTTGTTTTTTCTTCTCTTCTGTATCTGACTCCCTATCCTCCCCCACCCCAGCCCTAATATAAAATGGAAATATAATTATATAAAAATATTTTATTGTTTGGGTCTGCTGAATATTTCACATTTTTGAAATTTTAAAGTGTGAATGAGGAAGTTGTGGCTAGGTAGGTTACATTTCTTTCTTTAAAATGAAGCTATTATTGAATTGAAAATAGCCCCCCACAAAATGGGAATTTTTTTTTTTTTACTGGAAATTAGTTATGCTTAGTAGAAAAATAGTCCATGTTGGCCCAGAAAATATATCTGGAGCAATAGCCAATAAGAGCCTTCTTTGATTGCCAAATACCTGCAGACCATCTGAGGGGACTTGAAACCCGGAGATTCTACGCTCTGGACCTCCCCCATCTCCTGCCTTGTCTAGGCAAGGCCTGCACCCTTATAGAGTCTGAAATTCATCAAGAGACTTGCAGCGGCTGTGTGGAGAAGGAGTCACTGCACTTGAGTCTGCATCCTCCCCTGCTGCATTCAAGCAAAGTGACCTTAGGCAAGTCCGGTGCGTCTCATTCTGTCATCTGTGAAAGGGGACAGGATGTTCTCGAGGTCACAGCATTGGTGTGAGGTTCCAGGGATAGGGACTGTGCAGAAGCTGCCCTCGGCTCTGGCCCTACTTTCCCCCACCAGGGGAAGTGGAAGCAACAGCCACCCTGGACCGGAGACATGGCAGGGGAAGAAGTGGTGTGGGCAGAGAGAATCACTTGGGCTCTTCCAAAACGGAAGGGTCCTTCGCCTCCCAAGGCGGTCTTATGGGCAAAGCATCAGCAAAGGGGAAGTGAAGCCACACCCACCCCCGCACCACCACTCCCAGTTCCCCTAGATGGGGCCTGGCACATAGGGAGCAGGAACTCAGCCTCCACAGCCCCAGGAGACCCAGCAGAGACGAGTGTCCAGACCCTTCACTCCCAACAGTGAGATGCCACTGCCCGCACTTTCCCTGATTGAGGTGTCAGGCTGAGGGTGTGGGGAGAGGCCTGATTCTGGTAGAAGCTACGGTGCAGGAGTGTAGGGTGGGGTTGGTAACCATGTCACAACAGGGAACTGAAAAAAGCCAGGATGGGCAATGAGGGGGAGAAGATACAGATCCGAGGGCAGCTCAACAAGATTTCCCAACTCTGGACCTGCCCTTTCCATGCAGGCCTGGAAGAAAACAACTCCTTTGTCCCCAAACCTCCTTTCGAGGGGACCCACCCTTCGGGCCCAGCCTTTCAAGATTTCTCAGGTAGGGCCTCCCTGGTGGCGCAGCGTTGAGCGCTGGGTTGTGAAGCTGCCCGCAACCTCTGCAGCACCGGTTCGATCCCCGGCTGCTCCCCGGCCACCAGAGGAGGGTCCCACACGTCGCACAGACCTCTCCTGCTGCCCGCTGCTCCCCTCAGCAGTGTACTTCGGTCCTTCTGCCTGCTCTGCTCCCCGCTCTGGCTCTGGTGAATTCTCTCACCCTCCCGCGCTTCTGACTGTACCCAGTGCTTGTATAAATAAATAAATAAATCTTAAAAAAAAAAAAGAATATTATAAAAAAAAGAACTTTACGCTCAAATCTTAAAAAAAAAAAAAAAAAAAGATTCCTCAGGTAGACTTTTTCCTCAGACACTAGTCCAGCTCCCTTTTCAGGTAACTTGTAGACAGGACATGGGCTCCGGGGTCTAATGAGTAGTCACCCAGAATTGTGTGAATTGAGGAAACCCTGGACTCTGGTGGAACCCCCATTTCCTGCCTGTAAAGTGAGACTGAGAACATCACAGATTGGCCATGAGGCCTAAATTCATCAAATATGTCATGAGCACGATGTCCTTGCCTGGACAAATTGGTGATTGGCATTCTACACTACTAGGCCGCCCCCCCACCCCACCCCCCCCCCCGGCCTCCTGGAGCTGCTGTTCCATGGAGTGAGGTAGTCAGTGCTTAAGATGTGACCTGACTTATGTTTAACCAGGCCACTCTGCCCCAGTCTGGGAAGCGCGAGCCACCTTTTCTGACACGCACACAGCTTCATTATCATCAACGCTCAGGACACAGCAGCTGGGCTTCTTCTCATTTTCTTACCCACTGCAACCTCTTCACAGCTTTCTGGGGCATTGACCTGGAAGTCCCCCACTTGCCCAGCATTGTCACCCGGATGCCTCACTTTATCTCCGTCTCCGGGTTTGTATTCTCTCAATCTCTTCACGTGGCCTGAGGCCTGGGAAGCTGTAGCTGCCCTCCAGGCCCTGCTCTCTGCCCCTTGGCCCCTGAAGAACAGTTATTACTCCTTTCTGGCTCCCTGCAACTTAACTCCCACCCCACCCCCATGGATTCCAGTCTGGATTGTGGGCCCACAGCTCTAGCAGGCCCTGAAACCCTCAGAAACTCAGAAACTATGTCTCTTTCTCTAATTCAGATCCTTTTATTTCTCATCCACTCTTTTATTTTGAATTTTGATTGTTTTACTATTTTTTTTTTTTAGCTAAGGTGATACTGATTTATAACTTTCAGGGGTACGACTTTATATTTCAATTCCTGACTACACTGCATTCTGATCACCACCAAAATCTAGTGTCCATTCAAAATCATTTTACTTGCTCCCCAACCTCCCGCTCTTTCTGGTAACCACCATTCTTTGTCTTTTTTTTTTTCCTTTTTATTGTAATAGCTGCCATTCAGTTGTCAGAATTTAAGGTTTGTTTTTGTTTTGCTTTGTTTATTCATTTGTTTTGTTTCTTTGTCTTCCATATATAGTGGTGTTTATCTTTCTCCATCTGACTTACTTCACTTAGCATAATCCCCTCAAGATCCATTTATGTCACAACTGGCAAAATTTCACCTTTTTTTCAAATAACCCTGTGGTATTCCACTGTTTCCCTATCTTGGTTATTGTGAATAATGCTGCAACGAACAACATCCAGCCTTTTTGAGTTAGCATTTCCATATTCTTCAGATAAATAGCCAGAAGTAGAAATTCTTTTTTATAAAAAAAAAAATTTATTTATTTATGCATACAAGAGCTGGGGTACAGGCCAGAGATGTGTTGGGGGAGGGGAGTGAGAGGATTCACCAGGGACAGAGTGGGGAGCAGAACAGGCAGGTCCACTGAAATACACTGGTGAGGGGAGCAGCAGGAGAGTCAGGAGAGGTCTGCTGGGCCATGTGGGTCTCTTTCTGCAGACTAGTGCTGCAGAGGCTGCTGATTGCTTCATAGTGCGGTGCTTAACCCCTTGTGCCACCAGGGAGGCCCCAGAAGTGGAAATTCTATTGGAAATTTTAAAAGCAATCTCCATACTGTTTTTCTACTGGCTTCACCTGTTCACATTCCCACCAGCCATGTACCAGGGTTCCCTTTGCTCCACCATCCCCTTTAAAAAAATGTGGCCAAGCCTTCTCAAATTGTCCTGGGACTCTATCCCAGCCCAGCTGCCTGGGCAAGTGGCCTGGTGGCCTTGAAGTCAGCATGTTACTGTCCGCCCCCTCCCACCCTGTCTCCCTGCAGGCTCCCCGCCTGTCCTCCTGTGGATCTTCCCGCTCACATCCTCCACAGGACAGAATTCAG